GTTTGCTTTAAGCTTCTGGAGTTCCCAAATCAGGTCCCAAATTGTATTCCCTCATATTCTGAAGAGTYTTGGTTCGTTTACCCAGGGTCAGGTGGAGACATAAGTATTTCTAGTCAGATGGCAGTAGCTGTTTAATGCTAAACTAATCTACTTCCAGTTGAGTGTAATTCTCAAAAAAATGGGGGAGAAAATACATTACCTGAAAAATATTTGCCTCCCTCCCAATTTTGTTTACCTGACATTTTTTTTTCTGCTTTTTTGTTACAGAAAAGAAGAGGAAAGGCTCAACCAAGAAAAGGTCTCTGTTTATTTAGAAGACACAGACTAACTTTCCTAGATGGTGAGGCTCAAAATGGGTTCTCTCTTTTCTCAGTTTTCTGACCTGTCGGGTCCACCTATAACATGGATTGCCCAGATTACTTTATATGGTCATTAGGTATTTCCTATATGAAATTAGAGGTTCCCAGTCAGGGTTCCAGTCTCATGAATGGCTATGAATTTTGTACAAAGGATTAAGAAGCTAGACTCCATTGCCATTAAAGCTAAAAGAATTCTTTTTTTTTTTTTAAGCTTTGGGGTTATATTTATCACTACTAAGAATAAACTATCAACATGTAAATAAATCTTTTTTTTTTTTTTTTTTTGTGTGTGTGTGTGTGTATGTGGTGTTGGGGATTGAACCCAGGGCCTTGTGCATGAGAGGCAAGCACTCTACCAACTGAGCTATATCCCCAGCCCTAGTCTTTATTTTTTATTTTTTTAGTTGCAGTTGGGTACAATATCTTTATTTATTTTTATGTGGTGCTGAGGATCAAACCCAGTGCCTCACATGTGTGAGGTGGGCACTCTACCACCCCAGCCCTAGATTTTTCTTCTTCTTTTTCTTTTATTGTAAACCAGTATGGCATTAAGAGAGTGACTTAAAAGATCTGCCTGGTATTTTGACTGGAGAAATTTTGTATTATTTGTAACTGGTTTCACTCCTCTAAATTAGWTATTGCTCTATAAATCTAGTTTAGTGAATAACTTTGTTTTTCCAACTTTCAGGTTTAYCAGGCTTAAAAGGTAGGATGATTTATTTTTCCTATGCTCAGAATTTCTCCCATTCTCTGAAGTAGGACTACATGTTTAATTTCTAGTTATTGTAAATCAAGACATGTAAACTGAATTTTATACTATCAGAATATTTTCGACATTAATTACTTTAATCTGTGAAACTCAGTTCAGGTCACCTACATGGCAGGAACTTTTTATAGACTGTTATTAGTTGTAAAGAGAGTCACATTTTATATGCTATAGCTCCAGTGAAAAACCTCACGGATTTATAAAATAGAATATGAATAAATGTGATTGGATTGTAAAAACAAAACTGGCCAGATGGTTGGTGCATGTCGGTAATTTCAGCTATTTGGGAGGCTGAGGTGAAGGACTGCAAGGGGAGGTAGCTCAATGGCAAAGTGCTGCAAAACCAAAACAAAACCAAACAACCTGCAAAAATCCAAATTTGGTATCAGGGAGTTCCTCCCAAAGGCTATTTCTCTTTTTAAAATCAAGCAGGTTCTTAACAAGTCAGGGTAATGGAAAATAAAGATGGGGGCTGATTTAGATTAAAAGAAATTTAAGAGACTTAAGAGGCTAACACAATCAAACACAATGTGTAATCCCTGACTGGATGGATACAAATTGAACAAACTAGATGTAAAACAGTTTGGTGGGAGCAATTGGGAAAGTCTTGAATATGAAAATGTTGCATATGGATAATATCAGGAAATTGTTGGATTTTATAAAGTACAATAATGATATTGTAGTTACATAGGAAAATGTCCCCATTTAAAAAGATGCATATAGGAGTAAACAGGGGTAATGCCAGTAAATTCCTTTAAAAACTTCAGCCAAAAAAAAAGTAAATAAAAAAAGAATACTTTAAAATTAGATGGTGGATGAATTCCATACACCATCTTCTTTACCTTTCTATATGTTTGATTTTGTTTATAAAGAGGGTGGGTAGAAAACGTATGTATGTGAGCGAGCTGTGGATCCTCCAAGTGTCCATGCTAAAGCGCTAGGATGCTAGGAATAAAGGATACTGACTTTGAGAACAATGTATTAAGAATCAGGAAACTTCTTGTATTAAATTTAAGAATATTTCCCTTAAGAAATGGAGAATAGCCCGGAATGGTGGCACATGCCTGTTATCCTAGCAACTCAGGATGCTGAGACAGAAGGATTGCAAGTTTGATATCAGTTTCAGCAACTTTGTTTGAGGCCTTAAGCAACTTAGTGGGACCCTGTCTCAAAATAAAAAATAATAGGGCTGGGAATGGGCCTCGGTTATTAAGCACCYCTGGGTTAAATAACCAATACCAAAAAAAAGGGGGGAGAATTCATTTAATAATATGTATATAATTCACAAGGCTAGGTATTCCTATTGCATTCTTCCAAAATACATTATCCTTTTAAACTTTTGTTTTCTATTATAGGAAACAAGATTTTCAAGAACAAGAACCCTGGATACATGAAGTTAATGGAAGTTAATGGAAACCTTTCTTTGGCTTTTCCAGTTGTGACCTGTTTTCCACCAATTATGTAGCACATACCCATCCAACATCTTCTGCAGGCAACACAGGACTCCTCTTGAGCAGATACCATCAGACTCACATACAGTCTTATTATTAAGGTTTTATTTAATTTCAGAGTGCAAATATTTTTCAGATGAGCATTAGCTTTTATAAACTAAGAAGCTATATTTTTGCCTTTAACCACCCCTTATCTGAGTATGACTTATATCCACATATATTGAAGCCAATCTGCCTGTCATGACATTTCCTTTCAAGCACTTGTTTTTTAGACCGGTAATCTTGCTACTAAAGTTAATGTTTATTCTCTTTCCTTCTCACATTTTTAATTAAAAGGTCTCCCAGCTATATTTGATTAACATTAAATCCCAAATTCAAACTGTTAAGTTTGATTTGTTTTTAATGGCTCCCCTTAAGTATGAGACACATCTTGCTTTTGTTGAACTTCTTTCATTATTCCAGGTGATGGGGTATTTTTGTTTTTGCAATTAATCCAAGGTTTACAATAGTATAAGTCTAAATCACAGTGACTACAAAAGTTACATAAATGCTAATACATTGGCAAATGCCACCTCAGGATGAATCACTTGTCAATTTTTTTCAACAGTCTAGGTCTTTCGTGAGCAATGACTGTTTTGCTTACTATGTTTTTTACCCCCAGTTAAAATATTAAAATAGAAAAGCTAAGTTCATTTGCAGACTGAAATCATTAAGCAGTTTAATAGAAGTATTTTGAAATAGTCTATTATAATTCTTAAAATTTAAAGTTGGTGAAGAAAGGTCAACACTAAATGATGATAATACTGTACAGTATTGTGCAAAGTTCTGAGAACTGCAAGAGATTATTTAAATTTTTCTTTTTATTCTTTTTAGTTGTAAGTCACTTGCTTATTTTAAGGAAGAGAGAACTGGGTACATAACAAAGAAATATCAAAACTAGTTTAACTGAATGACACAAACTTTATTATTTTCCCTTATTTTGGTAGGTAAAGCAAACTTTGTAAGTGGGCCATGGAAATAGAGGTCTCTTAAAAAGTGTCTAGACAGTCAGTGTCAATTTTGAAACTAAAAGTTAGATCTGAAGTCTATATTACCTTTAATCCACATTTTATATTTTTCTTCATAATTAAACTTTGAAAATATTACAACTGGATATTTCTTTAAACAGACAGACTGCATGTTCTATAGTTATAATGAAAAAGTAGTTAAAAACTCATGGAGAGTTTTTCCAGCAAACTTGTAGCTTGTGTCTCGGCTAAATACTCAAGGAGTAATATAGCATGTTGTTTAGTGTCTCCTTCCTAAAGAGAACTTTTGTATTGTAATTTATTTTTTATTATGTCTTAAATACCATGTAAATAAACCTTTAGTAATAAAGAATTATAAATGAAATGATTTGCTTACATTCCAAATTTGAAATTTTACATAGCAGATAACAAAACAGAGGTATATATTTTATCTTCACTGAAAAGTTTTCTTAGTACAGACAACCTGGGAGTCAATAATGGATAGAATTAGTTTCTACTGGGTAAGTAAAAGTATATGGATTTCCATAGAATTGTTACACTGCTTTGGATAACTGGGAATTGGGCATAACAACACTACTTAGTTTGGGGACTCCTGAAGGAAAGGTATCAACTATTCTATTTGGTACTCCTGCAATACTCGCCAATAGAGAAAACTACTAGCTTTCAGGTCTAGTAAAGAGATAGTAGTTGAAAATTGGCAAGTTATTAAATCTTTCCAAAAGGTGAAGCATATTTTTGGCTCTCTCCTGCTTTCATTAATCATGTGCAATTCCAGACTAGGATAGCATGATTAAAGCAAGGTTCTGTACCATCTTTTTCAGAAGGATGTGATGCCATCTCATTTCAAGTACTTTGATAGCAAAGCTTTCTTTAACAAATAAAAGATACAAAATCCTAGTTCCTCTTCACCCCTAATATATGATGTGATTATGTGACCATCATTAAGACTGTAAATAGTAATTTAATAAACATCCAATTCTGGATGCTATAATAGCTACACTGAAAAAGTCAAAAATCAGAGACTATGGCAAGTATTGGCCACAAGGGCCTAATACATATTTATCTACTGACTGACCCTGCATATACTCCCAGGTCTCTTTGTACTCTAAATTTATGAGAATCTATTCCGAGAGAGTTCCACTAAAATCTCTAGACGTATAGACAACATCTGGAACACAGATGCTCAAGATTATTTAGTCCTGCAGAATTCTATAAAAATAAAACCGAAAATTTTCCTAAGTCTGTAACCGATTTCATTTTCAAGCAAAAGAGCAACGAACTCTCAAAGAATCACTGGTCAGTGAAACCAGGTGCGATTCTGGAAGGTAGCCACAGCCTATGGCATCTCCCGATGGCCATTTTAAGTTTTCTCGCTGACGTCACTTCCGGGGTTACCTGAGTCGTTACCGGGAGCCACAAACAAGGTGTACAAGTATCTGAAGAGCTGTCGGGATGCAGCAGAGCGGAGCGGCTGGAGGCCGTGGCTGCGCGCTCTTTTCAGTGCTGGGCATCCTATTTTTCCAGGGTGAGTTCGCCGGCTGGCTGTGTCCCACTTCCGGCTGGGGGGGTTAGAAAAGATGGTCGCTTTTCCGGTTCCGGGTGTGGGGGGGTCTCGTCAAAGCCCCCGCTCGGTTTCTGGGAAGGAAGGAAGGTGGGGTGCCGCGGAGGATGTTCACGCCACCCACAGAGAAGAGTTGCTATCTTGTCAGTCCTTTCCTGAGCTCGACCACCTTGGCGCTGTATTTTGGTGATGACATGACTAGGTGGAACCACAAAGTTCAGGCTTTGGGGGCAACGCGTGGTTATCTTATATGAGATAATCTGTGGTAGTCTGCTGTTACCCTGATGACAGAAAGGAATTTCTAGTGGCCAGTAGTGGGTCCCTTTAATTTTGGGAAACAAAATCGTTACTTGTTAATTTTATTTTTTGTAAATGAATATCTTGGGCTATGAAATAAAACGTTTGTCACAGGTCGTGATGTGTGTTTTTATACAGAAGTATATTGTTGAAGAAGCAGCAACTGCCTTAGCATTAAAAAAAAAACATTTTTAAAAATATAAGGGTATGTCGGTTCTTAATCGGCTGAGTGATATCAGAAATACATACGAACACAATAACACTTGTAAAAATTGAGTATGTTTTGATTTCATGTAATTTTCAAATTGCGTATATTTCGGTTCAACCTAAATAATTTCATTTTAGGGTGTAATTATTTCCTGATTTTTTTTTTTTTGTGTGTGTGTGTGCGTCTTTTGGGGAAATCAAATATAATTACAGCAGCATTAGAGAGAATTTTTGACTTCATAAAACTTCCCTGTAAGTAATGGAGATTTCTGAAATGAACCTTTAATATTATATAAATATAAATCAGGTGCCCTAATTCTCAGCAGGTAAGACTGGGAAGTTTTTATTTATCTGGTGACTAACATTCTTGCTGCCAGCACACTCCCGGATTCCTCCCAGCTGCCTGTGTCATCATAAGTGTCCAGTTTTTCATCTAAATTCCTTTTGCAATACAATATTTAGTTTGACCTGTCACTTCAAATATACCCAGATCTCTTTCTCTCTTTCTCTTACACACACACACACACACACACACACACACACACACACACAGGGCATGTCAAATATTCTATCAAGGAAAAAAAATTTCTAGAAATAATAGGTGTTTTCTTGAATTTAATGCCATTTCACATTGAAGAGTTGCTTCAAATTCAGTGGACCTAATAATTCAAACAGTAAAGTTGATTTTTATCATCTTTTGTACTTGTTTAGGAGATTTATATCTTTTTAAATAACAGGTGTATTGAGATATGATCACATTCTATGCAATTTATCCATTTAAAATGTACAATTCAGTGGCTTCTAGGAGTCATACAGTTGTATAATCATCACCCCAACCAATTTTAGAATATTTTTGTCACCCCAAAGAGAAATCCTACTCCCATTCCCAACTTCCCCCAACYCCTGATAACCACCAGTCCACTTTCTAACTTTGTGGATTTGCCTGATCTGGGTATTTTATATAAATGGGATCATACAATGTATTTTCTTTTGTGACTGGATTCTTTCACTTAGTGTGTTTTTGATGTTTCATCTTTTGTCTTTCTTTTTTGGTCTGACTTTTGAATCTGTTAGGTGATAGACTTTGTTTTCATACTAATATTTATTTGCCTTTCCTCTTCACAGTTAGGACACATTTAATTATTAGTTTGTTCAAATTCTCCTTAAGTTATAAGTCTAATCCTATTGTAGCAGTTGTTGAAGTGTATAGAAATAATTGAGTAGGTAATATAGTCTTCTCTTTTCCATGTAAATGTGCCATTATATGAACGAAAGATTGGCAGATGCATATTTTGGAAAATCACGTTTATAAAATTAGGAACTTTATTCTGTCATATTTCTCTAATTTCTTCCATTTATAAAATTATTTATGTTAAATATGATTTTCCTGTTTTCTTCCCCAATTAAATTTTTTTGTGGATATTTCTTTAGTTTACTGTCTTACCTGTTCAGAATGCTCTTTGACTCAGGTAGAAAAATAAATATCTGGGCTGGAGATGTGGCTCAGCGGTAGCGCGCTCGCCTGGCATGCGTGCGGCCCGGGTTCGATCCTCAGCACCACATACCAACAAAGATGTTGAGATGTTGTATCCGCCGAGAACTAAAAAATAAATATTAAAAATTCTCTCTCTCTCTCTCTCCTCTCTCACTCTCTCTTTAAAAAAAAAARAWAAATATCTGTAAAGACATTAGTCTAAGATAGAAATTTCTGAATGAATGTAATATTGGATTAGAAGGGAAGAGACTTAGAAGGGGATTTGGTAGGGACTGTCACAGAGATGTGRAATTTGCATGTTTGTGTGTGATGTATGTGTATACACACCCATGCAGCACAATCAGTGTGGGGTGTTGGTTGGGGAGAGAATAAAGGAATTCTGATTTATAACTCTAATCCAGATCTCTTCTTTGCTCTTTGGAAAACTTTCCATAAAGGAATAGAGAATAAATATTTTGGGCTTTTCAGGCACATAGTCTCTGTTGTAACTACTTTTTTCTGCAAAAAGTGCAAAACACCATGATAGGCAATATACGTAAGCAAATGAATATGGCTATTTTAAAAAATATATTTATTTTTTAGTTTTAGGTGGACACAATATCTTTATTTTATTTTTATGTGGTGCTGAGGTTTGAACCCAGTGCCTCACTCATGCCAGGTGAGCATGCTATCACTTGAGCCACATCCCCAGTCCAATATGGCTGTTTTTTAATAAAACCTTGTTTACATAAATATGTTGAATTTTTTATCTGTTTATCAGGATAATTCTAGAGATTATAATTGGTTTGCCTCCATCTGGGTCACCCACAGAGCAAAGGGTAAGATCAGTTGCTAGTTTTTCTTAGTTTGCTCCTCTCATGAGATCCATTTGTTTGCATGTGGCCCATGGGCCATAGTTTGCTGACCTTTAACCTAAACCAACTGCTCCTTTGATAGTATCCCTTGGGTATCTCACATACACCCAAATTCATCCAGAATCAAATTCATGTTCCCCTTCCAAGTCTGGTACATCTCTAGTCTTCCCTCTCTAGTGAATGGCATCACCAAGTCAGGTGGTGTCATTCTTGACACCACCCTTTCTCTACATTAATTTTTTATGTTGCAATTGTGTGATTTTTCTCCTTCATGTTATACCAGCCCAGTCTAGAAGTGGTCATCAAGAGCTAGGCTTTTCCTGAATGGGCGCAATAGAAAGAAGAATAGGGTAGTTAAGAGTGTTGAAAATACTGTAAAGAAGGTGATAGGGGGTAGGTGGGTTATTAATGAGTATATTTTGTTCCTGTACTAGAATTTATGGTGAGATATGGTCACATTCTATGCAATTTATCCATTTAAAATGTACAATTCAGTGGCTTCTAGGAGTCATTCATCTCTTTCTCTCAGTCTCTCTTTTTCTGACCCCCCTCTCTCTGAATTTTTGCCCCAGAGGTGCTTGGATTTAATGGAGGAAATAAATAGCATTTAAAAGTTACTTGCAATCAATGGCATATGTAGCTGAGTAGCACTGTGTAAAAGTATTATGAGAATGTTGAAGAAATAGTGATGAACTTTATCAGAAAACTTAGGAAAGCATCACAAAGGGGCTAATATTTGAGCTGGGGTTTTAAGATGTGTGATTGTTGAGGGAATGGTGTGATGGAGAAAAACTCAGGCAGGATTGGTAGAGATGGGGACAACCTTCCAGACAGAGACATATTCAAAGAAAGACACAGGTCATGAAAGGACACAGTGCCTTTGGGAAATGGAAGGACATTTTAGGCATGGTAAAGGGGATGGGATGGGTAGGTGGCAGAGTGGCAGAAGTTTGGGGCCAAATTGTTGTTTAGGTTTTATTCCATGATGCAACAGGGAATTACTGAAGGCTTTTTAATGTATATAATGATTTTAATAATAATATTTATTGAAATATTTTATTATTAAGCATTTTAGGTGTTATCATTTTAATTGTATTGAAACTTCACAATAATCCAATGAAGCGGGTTTGGTTATTATTCCTATGTACCAAGTGAGAAAATTAAAGTTTGAACAGGTTGGGTAACTGATCATGGTCTCACAGACAGAAAGTTGCTGAGATAGAACTTAAGTTCAGGTCTGGCTAATTCTAATCCATGCTTTAAATTCTGTACTATACCTGTAATACTTGTGCTTTAGAATAAAAGAGTGGGATGAGGGGACAATACAGATTATCCATTTGTTTCCACCTTCCAGTTTTTAGACTTAGGTAAGGATTTTTCCACATTAATGTGTCGTTGAAGTTGTTATTAGTGAGCTCAATCTGGTCTCCTCCTTTTAAGAGGAATGTGACCAAACTAGATTGTCTAGAGAGGAGTGACAAAAATGATTCAAAGCAGGCAGAGGTAGAAGCAGGGGAACTGATGACTCAGAGCTGTCTGTGGTAGTAAAGGTCGAGACAGTGTAGGAGAACTGAAGAGGTGAATGCTGATACTGATGGTACTAAGATGAATTGGACGATAACTCAGTAGCTCTTAGTAGGCTTCTAGTGTTGTACATGTTTTAACTCATTTAATCCTCATAGTGACCTTCCCATAAGGTCCTTGTAATAATGAGGAGATGGGGGACATACAGTAGCTTGCTGAGGCTGCAGAGCCAAGCAGTATCACTGGGATTTGAATTGGGATTTGGACTGGGACTTGAACCCTCTTCATTCTGTTTGTGTTTGGCTAATAGAAGAATCATGGCTTATTGAGGTGGATAAAGAAGCAGGAAAAACAAAGTGCTAGAGACTTAATTTTCTAAAATATGACTCTTTAGTGGAAAATAAGTTTCAACTTACTATTTTCTGAAAGCAGAAATTAATAAGAAAAAAATGCCAGCTCTTTTGGGGGAGATGTCGTGTCAAAGTTGAATATGAGCGAATATRAGTAGGACTCTGCAGGGTTTAAAAATGCTCTCTTATTTTTGCATTGTAGAATGCATCCAGTTTTTCTGTTTTCCTCCCCATAATTAATTTGAACAAATGGGTGATTCATTAACCAGCTTTAATAAAGAGGGGAAAACCAGATAGGTCACAGAATAGTTTTTAAAAATTCTTTGAAAATTTTCCTATTCTTATTTCCTATTCTCATTTTATTGGTGATTGAGACAGTGACAGCTTCTTGCTACATTCATGCTGTACTTGGGAGTTAGTCCTTAGACCCCACGAAAACTGTCATATTCCCAGAGCATGTGTGTGCTCTGGGGTTTGGGAAATGGAAAAGGGTGAATGGTGTTGCCTTTTTGCCTACTGTGGACAGCCCTGCTCACTTGTGCTTAATTTTACCATAAACTTGCATTTTGGAAAAAATGCTTGTGTGACCAGGTTTTAAATTTTACCCAAGTATTCAATCTATGATTTAAGATTACAGAATGATAAAAATGCTACCCTAGATTAATGGGGATATCAGGTCCTTATCCCTTGTGGGATTGCCTGAGAAGACATTGGTTGCCCTGACTTTTTGATGAGAGCCATGAAAATGATAAATAGCATGCCTATGTTGTTCATTGACATCTGTACATTCCACCAAAATTAATACACTTTACATGTTTGGGCTTGCTTTGATTAGGTGTTCATATCGTCCTTTCCTTGGAGATTAATGCAGATGCTCATGTTCGAGGTTATGTTGGAGAAAAGATCAAGTTGAAATGTACCTTCAAGTCAACTTCGGAAGTCACTGACAAACTGACCATAGATTGGACATACCGCCCTCCCAGCAGCAGTCGAACAGAGTCTGTAAGTGTGTACTTTTCAGAAAGCTGCCTTGAGTCTTCTGGGTCAACAGTTTTGAAATCTTTTTATTGCAAATAACAGGCATTCATGAAGCCTTCTCCTCTTAGAATAGAAGATGAACTTCTATGTAAAGGGAAGGAGATGAGCTTCTGCCCTGTGTGACATTTATTTGATCACAGAGGTCATTTTGTTCTTCCACTTAAGAATCTTGCATATTAGTTGGGTGTGGTGGCACATGCCTGTAATCCGAACAGGGTTTAGGAAGCTGAGGCAAGAGGACTGCAAGTTCAAAGCCAGCCTCACAATTTAGTGAGACCCTAAGCAGCTTAGTAAGACCCTGTCTCAAAATTAAAAATTAAAAAGGGCTGGGGATGTGCCCAGTAATTAAGTGCCCTAGGGTTCAATCCCCAATATCGAGAGAGAGAGAGAGAGAGAGAGAGAGAGAGAGAGAGAGAGAGAATGAATATCTTGCATATAATTTAATTTGCAGGAATAAAATGGCCAAAAAACTGGAGGAAATATGGTTTAATTTTTTTATAGCTTCATTTTCACATTTGATCTACTAAGAAGTGTATCTCCAGGACCGTTGACTAGAACAGTTCTATGGGTCCCAGTCACAGACATCCTTTCTCTTAAAACTAGCTGCTCATTTCCTGTTAAATAAAATTATCTCAGTGGGTGTATCTGTTTGTATGGTTGTACTTTGTAGATTTATCTTGGCTTCTTCTCCCAGCAGGTAAACATCTGCAGTGATTTATATAGCTGCCTTTGAAGGAAGTGGTGGCACCTTGTGTTGGTGATAGATGTTGTTGGTGACAGATGGTCTTCTATATTAGAAGCAATATACTTTAGTCACACATATAGAAACCATTTATGGTTCAAATCCCATTGCGGGTATCTAATTGAAGATAAGACACCCTTTCTCTTTATGATTCCACCAGTATCCTTAGCTCAGTATAAGTGCGATTCAACAATGTGAATCTCACAACCATATATGTAAGATTAGATTTTTTAAAGTATTCTTAACTTATTTATGCTGTTTTCCTTTGTTGGGAAAACTTTCCCATTCATTTTAATGTGTAAGCTTTGAATTCTGTTTTGGAGTCATTTTTCAATGCCACATAGCTTGGAGCTAGGCAGTTAATTCTAGTGAAGGAAGCTAGACTGAATTCGTGGTTCCTTTTGCTTTAAAACAGTTTGCTTTATTCTGTGTATTCAGGAAACCATGGCTGCCCTTGTTTGGCTCAACCTCCTTGGCCAAAGGTAGGACAGTGCAAGCAATGAGCTTCTTGGGTCAGAAACCTTATAGGCAAACAGTAGATCTCTGTGAGACTGGTAGAAAACCAGCAAACCCACCCAAGTTGGACTCAGTAGACCTTTAAAGTCACATAATGTAATGTTGCAGTTACACAGTTAGTGTAAGTGCATTGATCAATTAGTAAGGATTTGAGTATCACCAATTTAGTATGGAACTTATTGGTTAGATTAACCTTGAAGATACATAGCAGCCTTGTTTTGTCAATCAGGACTTTCAAACCCTTTTATCCTGATGCTGGTAATCAGTGGTAGGCTCTGTTTATCTCCCTTTGGAACACTCATCTCACATATTATTTCTTGATAACTGTATTTACCACTAGAATGTAAGTTCCATGAGGGTAGGAACTGTGCCTGTGTGGCTCCCAGTGTACTGTTTTTCTTAACATACTGCCTAGAATGCACTCTGCATGTAGTATTTGTTGAAAAAATGAACCAACAAGTGATTCAGCATCTTCTCTGGGAAATTGCTGTTCAGTTGGGAAATTCAGTGGTTATAGATGCCTAGTTGCTTAAGTGGGAAGGTACCAAGAAAACAAAGAAATTGTTTGTATCTTGAATCTTGCATAAGAGAGAAAACTTACATTGTTTTGTAGTACCTGGCTGACCCACCTCCAGGTATAATCAGGGGCTTTTGGTGATGAAGTGTCTGATCACCAAGTCCAGTCCAGCACTGTTTTAATTCAATATACATTTATTGAGTCCTTTTTATGCATTTGACTTGGATTTATATTAACTTCCAGGGTAGATAATGTGAGAGAGACTGGATTATATTACACTATGCCAGTGATTTTGAGAATAAACAAAAATCTTCCTTTTGTTACTTACTAATTGGTACCATTGAATAAGTCAGTTTTTTGTTTGTTTGTTTGTTTTTGGTCTTGTTCCCCTTTCCATCAATTTGGAATAGTTAGTTATGTGTTAGTTATAACACATACCATTTAATGTTATTGTAAGGCTAAAGTGAACAAATATGTGGAAGTCATTTGTAAACTATAAAGTGCTATACCAATATGAGACATTACTTTAGAGCAAGATTTCTCAACTTTGGCATTGTTGACATTTTGAGCCAGATGATTCTTTGTTGTGGGGGCCATCATCCCATACATTGTGGGAAGTTTAACAGTAATTCTGGCTTATATTCATTAGATGCCAGTAGACTCATCTCCCCACTGTGACAACAAAAATGTCTCCAACTCAACATCGAGAAAACAAAGAACCTAATTAAAAAATGAGTAAAGGATCTGAATAGATATTTCTCAAAAGAAGAGCTATCAATGGTTATCAGATGAAAAATGTTCCATATCTCAATTATTATGGAGATTCAAATTAAAACCACAATGAGATATCACCTCACATCTGTTAAAATGATTGTTATAAGAAAGACAAGTTATAAAAAGTGTAGGAAGGATTAGAGAACAGGGAACCCTGTATACTGTTGGTGGGAATGTAAATTAGTATAGCCATTTTGGAAAATAATATGTAGGTTCTTAAAAAACTAAAAATAGGGGCTGAGGTTGTGGCTCAGTGGTAGAGGGCCTGCCYTGCATGTGTGAGGCACTGGGTTTGAGCCTCAGCACCACATAAAAATAAGTAAATAAAATAAAGGTATTCTATCCATCTAAAAAAAAACTAAACAAACAAACTAAAAATAGCTGGGTGTATAGCTCAGTGGTAGAGCACTGCCAGAAAAAAAATCACATTGTATCCCATGAATATAATAATTATTATTTGTCAATTAAATATAAATAAATAAGTTTTGAAGATGGAAAAAGTCTCCAACTGTTGCCAAATGTTTTATGAAGAGCAGAGTTGCCCTGGTTTAAAGCTATTACTTTAGGATGTTAAGAATTTAGAAGAGATTCAAGAGTTAGGATCCCAGGATTCTTTCATTATTCTTTTTTTGAATTGGCCTTTAGGATGATAGGATGAACCAGAGGATGAAGGTGAAAAAAAAAGCATTTAAAAATTTTCCCAACTACAAGAACCCATTTATATAGTTGTATTTTACTTTGGAACTACTTAGCTTAACATTTTCCAAATTAACATTTTTCTCTCATGGTGTTGCTTTCTTAGATTTTTCATTATCAGTCTTTCCAGTACCCAACCACAGCAGGCACATTTCGGGATCGGATTTCCTGGGTTGGAAATGTGTACAAAGGGGATGCATCTATAAGCATAAGCAATCCTACCCTTAAGGACAATGGGACATTCAGCTGTGCTGTGAAGAATCCCCCAGACGTGCACCATAATATCCCCCTGACAGAGCTAACGGTCACAGAAAGGGGTAAGCTTRTTGCCATCAGCCTTCTGCAGTGCTTTTGGGATTGTTCTGGAGTGCTCATTGAAAAGCAATGAGTTGGGTCATTGGATCCAGTTGAGTCATTGGATCATTGTGACAAAGTGATTTATCTTGTTGTCCTGTTAAGATGAATTTTCATCTTTATTCTGAAAACTGAATTTTCTCTTCAAATTTTGTCATAGTTTCTCCATTATCCCCTTTTCATTTTAGCCTCAGGTAACCAAAGGTCTTGTGGAATAGATGACAAACCCTTTCGTAAATGGAAGGTTAGCATCTCTGTGAAACAGAAGTCACTCGGGTTTTCCTAATACGTTCACATTCCCAGCTATGAGACAGTGTTCTTGCCTATGTCTTGAAAGGGTATTTCCTCTGTTGATGGATGTGGTATATTTCTTTTATGTTACTAAGGGCAGCAGTTTCCTTTTAGTGTAAAACAGGTTGAGAGGAAGTTGAGGACTGACCTTTTTTTTCTACATTTTTCCTTGGTGACTATTAAGTGGTTATTCTAGTTCTTAATTGAATTTAAACCAAAGATTTAGAGATACATTATGATTCATCATAGTTACCTTATCATTCTTGGGTCTTCCCTCCCCTGCCTTCCTTCTTCCCTCTGTCCCTTCTTTCCTTTCTCTTCTTCCTCAAATTCCTTCTTCCTCTTTATTRTCTTTTGTCTTTATCTTCTTCAACAATAACTGACAGGTTTCAAAGACATGAGCACATTCATAATGCTGGAATGATTAGAAACTGATTAAGTTTTTCTGGAAAGCATTTTGAGAATAGGAATTAGATTCTTAGAAGTATATGTCCTTTAATCCTGTAATTTCATTTCAAAATTTAATTTTAAGGAAATAGAGGTAAACATGAGGATTTATGTACAAGGATGTTCATCCTAATGTGACTTTCGAACTCAAAAGAGTTTGAAATAAACTTGAATGCCTAGCATTAGAGGATTGATTTAATAATTTTTTTCAATGTGGCAGGATACTATGCAGCCATTAAACATCACATCTAGAAGGGATTTTTAATGACACGAAAACATGTTTATTATATTTAGAAAAAAATGTTAAGATAATATGTAGCATGATTTCTAGATGTAGGAATATGTACCTTACCTTCAAATGCACCCCCATAAACAATACCCCTTGAAAGAAGATTGAATCGGTAAATACCAATGTGTTATTCCTAGGTAGTGGAATTATGGGAGAATTTTTATTCTTCATTGCATTTTTGTGCATTTCCTACATTTTCCACAATGAATTCATTTCCTTTGTAATCAGAAAAAGTACAAGTGCAAAAGCAGAAATTCTCTCATGTCAGAGGAAGCACTTTTACACCTTTTCTTTTTTCCCTCTAGGTTTTGGCACCATGCTATCCTCTGTAGCCCTTCTTTCCATTCTCGTCTTCATTCCCTCAGTAGTGGTGGTGGTTCTGCTGCTGCTGAGAATGGGGAGGAAGGCTGCGGGGCTGAAGAAGAGGAGCAAGTCTGGCTATAAGAAATCATCTATTGAAGTTTCAGATGAGTAAGTCCAGCTGCAGCCCTAGTAAACCTATTTCTCTTCAGGGCCCTGCACCCCTGTATCCAGAATTTTATCATGTTGAGTTTAGTTCTGCCTGTGGAGTTTCCTTTTGGACAGGATGGTTCTGGTTGAAAGTGACACTTGTGGATATTGATTTGGAGGGAGTTGGAGGGACTGATAGTATTCTCCTCACCTTCTCCTTTGGAAATCAGATTGTGCAATACTGTGGTTCTAAACATTTTTTCCCCGTTGGGTACTGGGGATTGAGCTCAGGGGCCCTCAAYGATACTGAGCCACACCCCCAGCCTATTTTGTATTTTATTTAGAGACAAGGTCTCACTGAGTTGTTTAGCATTTTGCTTTTGCTGAGGCTGGCTCTGAACTCATGATTCTCCTGTCTCATCCTCTTGAGCTACGGGGATCATAGGTGTATACCACCATGCCCAGCACTGACATTTTTTAAAAGTAGGTATCTCATTTTTTTCAAAGTTTAGGGGAAACTCCAAGTCAGTTTTTTCCTCTTCTCTCTCTGTTTCTCTTTTTGGCACTAAGCTGATTTCTCCTGACAGAAAGAAAATACATGTGCAATGAGGGAGGCTTTAAGAATAGCCATGGAGGGTAAGGACAATTTAAATAAGCAAGATCTATTCTTGGTCAGCAGATGCTCCAAAGGGCTACTTGGATTGTGGTTATCAAAAGCATTTATTAAACATCATTCTGCCAGTGAGCAGCCATGATCCAGTATTTTCCCTCAAAAGATGTCTCCTAAAAAAAGTAATAAAAATTAACATAAAAACCCTGTGAGTTCTTTATTATCTGTATTAGGAGTCTTTAACATGGGGAGGAAAGTCTGACCCTTAAAGGGTCCAAAATTTTTATTCTCTCTGTGTGTGTGGAGAGAGAATGCCCTTAGTAAGTAATCTGTGGTTCCCCCAAAATAAAGAACTATTGACCAAAATCCCAATGTCTATTTCAAAATATGGTATACAAAACCTTTCATCAACTGATCCTAAGTTACACACTGCTTTCTATAATTTCTTCTCATTCACCCCACCTCAACTATAGTGAGCTTATTTTTCCCACTAGACATACTACATTTAGGTAGAGACATATTGTTTTTATTTTTCCTCGCCTCCTTCCTGCTTTTTTTTTTTTTAATGGTGCTGGGGATTGAACCCAGGGGCTTGTGCATGCAAGGCAAGCATTCTACCAAGTGAGATATGTCCCCACAGCCCTTTCCTTCTCTTCTTTGCTAGGAAACTCTTTCTTATCTTCTAAGACCAGCTGAAATATCCCCTTCTCTTGATTCAGGATTCCTGAGTTCTGAAGGGTGGATCAGTCACTCTCTGCCCTTTGCTGCCACAGCAGTTTCACCTTAATTCTATTAAGACATTTATCACATTGTATGATATAATACTTGTTAAGCTATAGAAGACCCCTCACCCCTGCCATGAGATCATTGGCTCTCCGAGGGACCAGGTTTTATTTATCTTTTTATCCCTAGGGGATAAAAACAGACATTGTTGGTGCTTAGTACTTTTTTGAATGAATGAATGGTTATGACTAGCTACTATTTATTGAGCACTTACTATGTGCTGGGCATGTAGTGGTAATATCTACATTTCATAGATGARGAAAGAAGCTCCTGGAGTTGAAGTGATTTGTCCAGTTATCCTGCTAGTAAGTGGAAGAGCTGGGGTCTAAACCCAGACATGTCTGACTTTAAGACCTGAGCTTTTAACTGGCCCACTATACTGGATAGTGACAATAGGGATTTGGTTTGTACCCTTTCCACAGCACTGACCAGGAGGAGAAAGACGAGTGCATGGCAAGGCTTTGTGTCCGTTGTGCCGAGTGTCTGGTAAGTCCTTGCCATTTCTTCTGTTGACTGTGGTGTCTCACTTTCCTCCCTGCTTAAGGGAACTCTTTGTCCTCAAAGGCAGCAGAGAATATACAGGTAGGTCCAAAGAAGGTATGAACCAGTATTTCCCCAAAGCATTTTGGCCTCTGGGGATCTCTACCAATTCTAAGAATGTTTTTTTTTTTCCTGCCTCATGGGCATAGAGTGGTATTCTTAGGTCAGGAATGGCGCTAGAAGAAGAATGTCTCATGCCATTGAATTCATACTAAGACACTTCAACTCACTGGATCCAGAACCTTGAATTTAACTTTTAGGCTGAGCTTTGGTATTTTCCAGGGAGTTAGAGTTTTAGGTAACTTAATGTCTTTTATCAATAAGAAACACTATTTTGGAAGGCCCAATTTTTCATTTAAATTTCAAAAAACTATCATCCTTCCTCCTTTGGGCAATTGCTGTGACTAATAGGCTTGTGTAGCTATCCTAGGATCGAAGGAGGAGGGAAGGCTCTCTGATGTGGTACAGTTGGAAATAGGTCAAAAGCAACTTGTGATCTAGTGTGAAACACACCTGTCATTTCAAGGTCCAAGCTTGAGCTCTCTTTGTACTTACTGCCAAGCTCGGCACTTGGTCACATGAGTGTAGCCCAATTATTTGTTGCAGTAATCTTAGTTTCTGCTTCTCTCCAGCCCTTGAGTAACATATTAAGATGAGAGAAAGATTATTAGTGCTAGGGAAGAGGGAGTACCTGATGCCAACTCTTCAGGCTTTGAATATTTTTATAACACAAAATAAGTTAGTGTTCTTATGGTTATTATTTGTTGAGCGTCTGACACTTGTCACATGCCTTYTTGTAGGGAAGGACATGTCACTTCCTAACCACCATTCTAGGTGGCTATGAAACAGTAGAATGGTAGTTAGGAAGCAGCAGTGAAGAAAAACTGACAAAAACTTCTGCCCTCAAAGAAAGAACTTAACATTCTTTTCCTGATAAACTTTCTCATCCTCCAAGATCCAGTTGAAATGTCACCTTTGCTTAAACTGGGGCACAAACACTGACTTAATCTTAAAAATAAGTAAAATATATACTATACCAGGTAGTTTTAATGCTATGAAGAAAAATAGAACAGGAAAGGGMGATGGGACGGCTGGATAGGGGTGTATGAGGATGGTTGGGGACACCCTCAGTAAGATGATATTTATGCAAACTCCTAAAAGAAGTAGATAGCAAGCCATATGGCCACTGTGGAGGAGCATTTCTAGATTGGGGAGATGAAGAAAAATTAGCCAAGGAGGCTGAGAAGTCATAATCAATAAGGTTGAAGGAAAACTGGGTGAGTTTGGTATCCTGGGAGATAAGGAAGAAAGTGTTTCAAGGAGGGCAAATAAAATGAGAACTGAGAAGTGACTGTTGATGGTTGATAACGTGCAGGCCACTGGTGACCTTTGTAAAAGTGGCTCCAGTGGAACGGTGGAGTTGAAGCCTGACTGGGGGAGGTCAAGAAAGATTCCAAAGAGACACTGGAGAATATGGGTGTGTACAGCTTGCCTTGCTGTGGACCGATTCAGAGAAATAGACAATACGTGGAAGGAGGAATGTGTCAAGAATTACTTTTTTTTTATTATGGGAAAAATTGAGCAAATTTATCAGCTGATGGGAATGATCCAATCAAGAAGGAAAAATTGATGCTGCAGAAGAGAGAAGGAGGGTTGTTGGGGGTGATGCCAGGATTTAGTGCACATGTGGAGATGTTGGCTTGAGGCAAAGGCAGTAGGAGTGTGAAAGAAGAGTAGGAAAGGCCAAAAAGATGGGGCCATATGCTTGTCAGTGGTAAATACCATATGGGAGACTGCTTCTCTGTTCCCAGTGATAGGAGAAAGCAGTACTATCAGCTGAGAATGATGGGAGGAGGTGTTAGAAGATAAGGGAAAGAGGTTAAGTTATGAAATAGTCATTTGAGAGAATAGGAGAATTAATGACCTGTGAAATGCCAGGCAATGCTCATGGCCCAACTTAAGTTAGAAGTAATGTATGTGAGTTTCTGTAATAAGAATAAGAATCATGGTAATAGGAGCTAAGCTTGAATGAGTGTTAAAGGTGGCAGGCACAGCTAAGTAATTTACATCTATTGTCACATTCACCTCTCATAATGGTACTGTGAGGTGTATTTTTATTATCCCCATTTCATAGATGAGGAAACTGAGTCTTAGAGAAGTTGAGGAACTCTGTCTAGCCAGATGCAGTAGACACACCTGTAGTCCCAGCAGCTCAGGAAGCTGAGGCAGGAGGATTGCAAGTTCAAAGCAGCCTCAGCAACTTAGCGAGGCCCTAAGCAACTCAGAAAGATCCTGACTCTAAATAAAATATAAAAAAGGGGCTAGGGATGTGGCTCAGTGGTTAAGTGACTCTGAGTTCAATTTCTGGTACCAAAAAACAAAACAAAACAAAAATCCTCAACAACAACAAACCACAAAGAACTTTATCCAAAGTCACACAGATAGCAAAGTATGGAACTCAGAGCGACTCCTACTCTAAACTCCTAACCCTGGTCTTGTGCATTCTGCTGAAGGCAGTCACCTTTTCTTGTGTGTTATGGTTTTCAAAAAATATTCACCAAGGAAAAGGGAGCCATTAGGGCTTTGAGGCAGAAAATATCCCAGTGGACACATTTCATTGAGGTCTTGTGAAGTTTCATGGGAATTTAGGTGGGTCGAGTCAGTGGCATTTCAATCTTATTGTCCTAAGTCAGCTTTCACTGGAGGATCCAAAGGTGTGATCTAGATTCTAACTGTGGCGTTGCACTTCATGTGTACACCCTCCCATGCTGCTCTTTCCTCTGTAGGATTCAGACTATGAAGAGACATACTGATGAAAGTTGGCAGAATGTAAGAAGAGTCACCTAACAACAGAAAACACCCATTCCGCTGCAGCTGTAGCCTTTCCAGAGGAGGGGAGCTGGCCAGGACAGCAGTGACGGAGGATTCTGGAGGTCTTCAGTAAAGACTATGAACCATTTATTTATTGAAGAAATCTTCTTTTTGTATTTATAAACTGTTCAGAACTTTCAGAAGAGACTCATGACTTCTCCTTTTAAAAAGTTACACTCTAATTGAATGAAGAAATTCTTTCCTTGAAGAGAAAGATAACTTTTTGGTTTACCTTTGCTCTTGAATGTATTATGTTTTCTTCCAATTGTTTGAAGGAGAATCCTAAATGTGTGCCACACTGCTGATGCCAAAGTGCCATTTTTTACTGAAGCAAAGTTTGCAGCTCCTGATGATGGGYTACCAGACAAAAGGCTTGTTTGGGATAAATGTCTGTTTTTTTTTTAGCCATGAACTTTTCCAGCTGTGAGTCTACAACATACACTACTTGGTTCAATGATATAATCATTGGTTGTATCTGGGTGATTTGTAATGTGCCTCTAATTTCTTTAGAGTTGATAGGATCAGGAGTCATTGGTTTGCTTTGACTGGGTTTTTAAACTATTAAAGTATTATAATTTACACTTAAGGAAAGGACTAGTGAGGTAGAGGAATTATTTTTGTTTGTCTTGCTAGGTGCAATTTGGGCCAAGGAGCTTTGTCATTCTACTTTCCTATAGTTGACTAATTTGTGGTTTCCTTCTTAACTTTTCAGGTCAGAGGCAAGAAAAACTCCTCAAAAGGTTTTAAGTGKGGACTTATAGAATATATTGAACAGTTAGTTGAAATTAAATCTTTTCACTTGTATTGTTCTTCAARACTTTTTTGGTCTAAAATACACCAATTATGAGTGAACTATGGTATTTGCAAGCTATTTTGCATAATTTTGGAGAGGAGGAAGTAAGGTTATGCACAACATCTATGTCTTCTTTCTCTTCTCTCTATACCTCAAAACACATTCCTCCATTCTACAGCAACCTACTTCACTTTTTGATTATCCCTTTTCCCGTCTTTGTTGTTTCAGCAGAGAATGGTCCCTTTCCATGGTTCTTCCCTAGGTGGCTCAGGAGGCTTTTCTATGGTAGCATTGTATACTATATATGTTTTTTAAAAATCAGTTCTACATTTTCTGCCAAGATCTAATTTCTAAAATTTGTGCCATTAATTCCGTCCCAATGATTTGGCCTGGCCTCTTTTGTTAATTTAGTGAACAGATTAGAAAATCTGGTTATTTGATAGATATTTTTGAATTGTTTCTGGTCACATCAGTCTGTTGCAGAGGCCAAGACAGGACTGATGTTTACATTTCCAGTGATTAAATTTTATACTTTTTTTTTCACCATTTGTTAATTATGTAATTCTCTGTGGTCAACTTAACAAGACCATTCTGGTGCCTCAGAAGAGAGGAAAATTTGAGCAGCTGATCTTGAAGATTTAAAAATAGAGATGAAATACTGAGGGGGACTTTTTGTGGGTCTCATTTCTCTGAGAGAGAGAGAGAAGAGATCACGTTACAGGAACCCATTTGAAGCCACATCCCATTGAAGGAGGAACCAGAGTTTGGGTTAGGTTTTCTTGCAAAGATTAGTCTGTCTTGGATGTTTGCTGCTTTAGGTAAATGGTGCTCTGTGAATACTCAGACATGTTATTTTGTAGCCTTTATCATGATTTGACCCAGTCCCTCTATTTTAAATGACAGAACAATAGAATCCTTCATGGTAAGGGAATAAGTTGGTAATTTATTCTGCTTCATGGGTTTGTGGTCACATCCCAGTCCAGGCTGCCCTGTTTCCTTCCTGTGTTTTGACACTTGAGTTGCTGCTTTTTACCTCCAAAGGAGCAGAAAAGTGTATAGACTCGTGCCTTCTTAGAGGATGGAAGAAAGATAAAGTGTTTTCTTTTTGTTTGTTTAATGTACTGTTTTAGTAACTTCTAAGGTCTTAGTCTATTTATTTCCTTTTGCTGCTCTGTGGGCACTTGTCACACCATGTGGTGACTAGCCTTATCTAGAGAGGGAATTTCATTAAAAAGGCATTAAAAACCTTCAGATTTTTTCTTTGCTTTCTCAAGCTTTCTTGTGGTTACGTTATCTTACCAATTTTATGCATTAGGTTTCTTAATTCTGTTACACAATGTAAATTTATAAAGTGCTTTCTGTTTCCCCTGTTAGCTGTTACTGCAGGTCACTTGGGAAACATCTTAATTCTCTTGAATTGGGTGCTATTGCTTCAAGAGAGAAGCTTGCACGTGCTTGTTTTTAAAACAACTACAACAACAACAACAAAATTCTGGGGACCACATCCTGAACTTGAATGTTGCATAATGAACTACTCAGCTGTAGTCATAAAGGAGAACTGTAAGAATATCCATTGGAATGGAGCAAGACTATTACTTAATTACACAACTCAAAACTTTTAGAAGAGGCAGCTGCATTCCTTTGTTTGCAGTGTTGGACTGTTAACTGCTATACCTCGTTGCCTTTTTTGTTCATTTGTTTTGTAGGAGGGCATGCACTGTTAGGCCATGTGCACAGGATTGTAACTCTTGGTATCTTTATTCCATCACACTTAATAAAGTTCTTTGTACCTTCTGGCTACCTCTTGGTGTATGTCTTACTTACGAGAGTTGTTATGTGAGGAAAAGGGGGGTTTTGTGGTTTTCAGCATTGAGTAAAAGATTTGTCTGAGCTGAAACCCAGCAAGAACCTACAGCTCACATAGCAGGGCTGATAATAAATTTTCTGAAAATCTGTGAGCTGGTTGCTACGCTGATGGTGATTTGAAATTGCCTTATGGTGGAAATATTCATACTACAGAGATGCCTTACCAGCATATCACTTTTAAAGGACCATGCAGCATGGTCCTTGAGGAAAGCAAACATTCATAAACCTTTCATGTGATATGGACAAGTTCCATAAGGCAAGTATACTCAGGCCAATTGGTCAAGTCAATTGAGTTCAGGTTGAAGGCTACATTGAGAATGCTTATTTTAAAGTAGTGAGTTAGACTGAGAGAGCCCTCACACTGAAGAAAACTTGACTTCTTATCTGGGATGTCCAAGTCACCCAAGTGGTTCTCTGGAAGAATAACTGACTGTCTGTATGCTGGAAATGCTGATAACTCACCGTCACAGGAAATCTACATGGCTAGATGGTGAGTTGGAGGACTGAGCAGGATGGGATAATTGACTGGCTATGTGGCACCTCTGTATTGAGAGAAAAAATGAGAGGTTGCTATATCTTAAAACAGATTWTTTTTTGTACCAGGAACTGAACCCAGGAGTGCTTAACTAGCCACATCCCTGGCCCTTTTTATATTTTATTTTGAGACAGGGTCTAACTTGCTTAGGAACTCGGTAAGTTGCTGAGGCTAGCTTTGAACTCATGATCCTCCTGCCTCAGCCTCCCTGGCTACTGTAATGTCAGATGTTTTGTGTCAATCTTTATTGTATTTTGTTTTCATGAAACTGATTTCTTTCTCAGCAAGTTTACCTGATGCCACTCAAGATCCTACCCTCAGAAAGTTTGTAATGTGGAAGGGGAGATGACACCTGCAGAGATCTGGGATGTGAGGCCCACCTCAGTAAGTTGAATTAAGAATGTTTTTTAGAATGAAAATACAAATTAAAAGTGGATAATGGGCCAGATGACTGAAACAAGAACCTTGATTTGGAGGTTCCTGTTTGTCTCTGCAGCCACCCCGGGACATGTATGCATGCATGCACATTTGCTGTGATGTGCTTAGAGCTTGACGTAGTGTGTTGGCAGAAGTCTCTTCAGTCTGGTGTGGGACCTGCAGCAGTGGAGGATTTAAGTGCATTGCTTGTCCTGAGTATCTTCATCTTGGGTAAGATACTGCTTTGTATTTTGTGAGCTGTTATTGGAACTTTTCTCAGAAGGCTTGTTCTCACTCAGAGGAAAGCTAGTTTAATTGGCGACCTCAGGATCATTGTGGAGCCAATTGCAGAACTCTTGTTCTTAGCAGGGGGACTGCCATAAGRTAGTCCATTGAGTGCAGTTTTAGTTTCTGTAATTTATGTTAAGATCCTCAGAGAGAAGAAGGGTAGAGTTTGTGGGTAATAAGAGCAAGGAGGGAAATGACAAGGCTTCCACTGTTAAATTGCTTTAGAGCAGGGCTGTGAGTGGCTGTCCTTGAGCTTTTGGCAGGACTCTTTCCTTGCTATTTTGTTTTTTTCTCCCCATTCTAGACAAGCCAATACTTAACCTTTCAAAGGCAGGAATTCATACCTCCCAAGAGGGCTAGGCTGTTGTCCTGACTTGTCACAACTTGGCATGGCCCTGACCTTGGAAAAGATTGATGCAGGCTGGTTGAGGTATAATGTGGTCTGAAGGGGGGAGCAGGAGTACATAATGACTTCCAAGGTCCCATTCGAGGACAAGGCTGGCTAATGTAGCCTAGACTGTGTTAYGTGGTCTCAGAGGGGAAAACAAGGGCATATTTTAAGAGATTCATGTCTCAGAGTGGTTATGTGGACTTGTATACCTACAAATACTCAAGAGGCCTGTTGAGGTACACAGGAGCATACAGGGAAGTTGAGGGGTCTTAGCATCACGGCAGAGTGGGCTGTGAGCAAGGGGAGAATGTACAGTTGTCGCTTGATCAGTGGTGGGTTGCCCACTTAGGTCAAACAATATTGCAATATTTGGGGGTCATTTTCACATCTTGTATGGTAATCTCATTGTCATAAGTCTCTTTTCCAAAGTTTTTTTTTCTGTCATAATTATGCCACAGATAACAATTTCCCTACACTATATTTTCTCTTTCTTTAAGTCAATTTTAAATTTGTTCTTTTTTTAATATACATGACAGTAGAATGTATTTAGATAGGCATACATGGAATCCAACTTCCATTCTTCTGGTTGTACATGATGTGGAATTACATTGGTCATGTATTTAATATATGATTTCCTACACTAGGAAATAGGAAAAGGATCCTGATATTTTTACACACACACACACTCCCCGCCCAAGGAGTGATAGGAGGTGTTATTTAGGAGTTACATTGTGAAAAAGTCATGAGTTCAGGTCCAAATTTTTGGTCAACATATGAATTTCCTATGCAGAATTATCTCAAGAATTATACTGCAGAAGATAAATCAGTATCTGGAAAGAGAAGGAAGTAGGGTAGAGGTAAGACTTTAATGGTATCTATTATCAAGCTGTTTCTGAATGCTTTTGTTGGAGTTTTAAAAACAGATTTACGAGTAGATAATCATTTAAAAAATATATGTATTATGTATATTTATTTCAGAATGTTGGTGTTCAGGTATATATGTATTCAGAATACATTTGTATGGGTATATATATGTGCATGTGTGTATGTGATATATATTCATGTGTCAAGTAACATTTCAGTCAATGACAATGCACAACAGTGGTCCCATAAGGTTAAACTGCCTAGTTGCATTGTAGCAATTTCAATTTGTATAAGTACATTCTATGATTCTCCTCACAATGGTGAAATAAATCACCTAGTGACACATTTCTCAGAACACATCTCCATTGTGAAGTGATACATGTGTCTATGTGTGTGTATATATGTGCGTGTGTATATAAATGAATAAATGTATATGAAAGAATGTCTGGACATTTTCTAGCTAGGAAATTGAACTTGACTCGAGAGTTCTTGGTTACTGTTCAAGGTGTCTTGAACCCGTACGATGAGTAGTTACTGAGTGCTTCTCTGCACCTTGCACCATGCTACTGCTGGAGGTTTAGTGGCACACAGGCACAGCTCTTGGCCTCATGGGGCTTGTAGTCTTGGTGAATGTTGTGGAGAGCAAGACTTTAACCACATAAGCACGCTAATAAATAATTAGAAGTTGTGACATGTGCCCTGAAAAAAACAYATTGTACTATTAAGACATGTGGCTGGGGATCTGACGTAGGATGGACGATTGAGGAGATATTTCACTGAGAAAATGACATTTCACTTGACATTAGAAAGATTAAAAGAGTTAGTGGGATGAAGGTATGAGCAGTAGCGATTTATTCAGGAGGAGCAGACAAATACTGTCCCCCCACTTCTCGGTACTAGGGATTGAACCCAGGGGTGCTCTACCCCTGAGCTACATCCCCAGTCCTTTTTATTTTTCGCTTGGAGACAAGGTCTTGCTAAGTTGCTGAGGCTAGCCTTGAACATATGATCCTCCTGCCTCAGTCCTCTGAGTTGCTGGGATTACAGGTGTGTACCATCACACCATCTGGAGTATGGTTTTGACATATTAAGTTCAGGGACGCTTCCCTCTAACATACTGATTACTTTCACCAACATGGAAAAGCAGTATAGTGTGACAAGGGTACAGGCTCAGGTCCAGAGTGCCTGGGTTTGGATCCTGGCTCTGCCACCTGCTGTGTGTTCTTATGTAGGTGACCTCACCAATCTGTGCCTCAGTTTTCTTATCTCTTAGATCTCTCAGATTGTGAGGATTAAGTGGGTGAACATGTTTGTTGCTCAGATAGTACCTGATATATAGCCTTGTCTGATTTATTGCATATCAACTCCTGATTTCCATTGTGGCACTCATTAACTGGGAAAATAAAAGTATGATTCTTTAATGTTAAAGATTTTGCTCAGGAAGTTGAGTGATTTTCCCGAAGATCAAAGAGTTAGTCAATGGAAGGTCTGAGCCTAGAAGAAAATCTTTTTAAACTCTAATTTAGTGCTCTTCTAGTAAGATCTTTGCTTTTCTCTTTATTCACTCAGAACACTAATGATGTATTTGAGTATTTGGGGGCTGAAAATCGGTATATTCTATTTATCAGATTGTTTGCACCTTTTAAATAATTTATTTGAAAGTGGTTTGGTGTGGTTCCGAGAGTTGCTAATGAGGTTGTAGGATGCCTTGCAGTTGATTTCCATGTAATGGTCACATTGGCAGTGAAGACATCCTTCTATTATGTGCCAGACACTTTACGGCTGTAGTAGCTCAGGAATGGGGCCCAAATATAAGCAAGACATGGATGATCTTGTCTTTGAGAATACATAGACCTGATGACAGACATGGAAATCAACCATTTCTCTTTCATATAAGTGGTGCACTGTTGGGCGGGTTGGGGGGCGTTCTAGTGCTGAGTGCTATTTGCTGGGCAGAGGAGGGAGCACAACCGATTTTTTGGAAAAGGATACATTCAGAGGGTGACAAAGATTTCATGTCCCATTAGGATGAACTGAAGTTAAAACTTGTTCTTTTTATGACCCTCATCCATGTAGGTGTGAGATGAGGTGGGTGGTGTGGAGCAGGAATAGGGCTGTGGCTATAGAGAGACTGTGTTTTCATGAGAGGTACTTCTATTTAGGGGAACTCAGTGTGACTTCCTTTATATCTGACTCAGTAATTATTATCAACATTGTTATAGAGGGTTCAAGATGCAAACTGAAAAGTTTCCAGTTCATTCTGATTCATCATTTGCCATTCTTATAAAGGTGGAAGTTCAGAACCCAAATCTTCCCTGAAGCTACAAATCATTTTCCATCTGACTCTTGAGTTATAAAAAATAGGATCTTCTATGGTAATGCTTCCTATTTTTCAAAGCACTGTTATCTACATTGTCATATTTGGTCCTTGTGTTATAGACGAGGAAGCCAAGGCTCAGTAAGATCAAGTGGGACCTAAGGCAGGAACCTCCTTGAGCAATTGGATCTAGATTCTCCAGGTGGAGGATTTTGTTGATTAGAATACAGGTAAGGAATCTCTTCAATTGGTTTTTACAAGTTAAAATGGCCACCATTATGTGCCAGATGGCCTATCTTGTTGTTAGTGCAACAAACAGACCTCTCCCCTTTACAGATTTGGAGGTGGAATTTCTACAGTGCCAGGTGGCTAGGTGTGCAGGGATTATGGCTGAGACTAGGCACAGTRGTAGATAGGAACCCCAAACTGGATGAATTGTAACTTGTTGGCATTAGGGTTCTTGTGTAAAGCTGAGAAAATGTGGGGGCATTATGTAGAGAACAGTGAGTCCTTTTGTAGGAACTGGTGAGTGCAGTGAAATCAATACCACAGAGATAATATAAACAGAGAAATAACTTTTGCCCAGTGTGGTCCAGTTCTTATTCTACTCACACTGCTCTGCTTTTAAAATAACAACAAAAAACCTCACCATGGACCTTTCATGTAGCTTCATGTCCTAAATTTGGTTAATTCCTTAAGTGAGTTTAAACTTTCCCCATATTTATGTATCTCCTCTCCCACATGCACTGAATATTCTTCCTATGTTTCAAAGTAGTAGTTCTGATTTAGTTGGAAGGAGGGTGAAAATTTCAGGCTGTATATCTTGTAATTTTTTGTTTGTGTTAAATGTGCCAGTTGTGTTACGTTTGGGGTTGTCATCTCCAGGGCAATCCTGCAATCATTTGCTTTTTATTTTTTTTTCCAGAACATCAACTTTTATCTAATCTTTCATTATAGCCAATCTAAAGCAGCCCCCAAGTGGCTTTCCAAACATCACCCTGTTTTGCTTCATCGCAGCCCTTATCAACAGCTGATGTTTCTCATTTGCACATTCATCTGCTTCTTTTTTGCCCATCCTGCCCCACATGTAAACTGCATGAGCTGGGACCATGTCTTTCTTGAGCAATGCTGCGCCCCAGTGCCTCAGAGACTTGCCCACACAGGTACTCACTGTTTGTTAAATTAATAAACTTCTCTGGACATAATTTTCTGATTTTTATCTTTAGATTGAAAAGTCAAGAGCAGCATGTTTTGCCCACTGCAGCTGGTCCTGATCCCAATGTTACTGGGTAAGTAGAAGCCAAGGAACCATGGGAGGTATTTGATTTCTCATAACTCTTGTGCATTTTTAAAAGGCTTTTTGTTTTGTTTTTGGTAGWTTTTAATTCCCTTTGATTTTTGGAAAATGAAAACCCTAGCCTGAAAMTTCATGGTTTTACTGAAACAGCTGTTTTAGAAGCAGGTAGTGGGCTCTTTCTTGGGAAACTGAAACTTCTTGTTTCTATTAGTCACAGAATGTCTTTGGTTTATCCTGGATGTTCTAGGACCTTCTTGTGTGTAAAAAAAAAAAAAAAAAGTTTCTCTATGGCCTTCCTGCACTTTAAATTGTCTTCAAAACCACAGCTAGTCTCAGATCCAGAATTGAAATGACCAGAGACGCCAGAATCCCTTTCATTGTTTTCACTCGTAGCCATGCCAGCGCCAGCCTTCTTACAGTTCCTCAAATGCCTGAGCTTTTTCCCAATATGGTGGTTTCCTTTGCCTGGAAGCTTGTTCCTCTCTTTGGCACCTCACACTAGTGAGCCTGCTTCCTTTCCCATTAAGATCCATTTTCTTCTGTGAAGCCTGCTAATGAACTCAGGCCATGTCTATACCTTAGGCAGGTGCTCAGGGCTGCTTCCTGTTGTTCATCTCCACTGCTAATTTTTAAAATTCCCTTTTACCCCCTGCCTTTCTTCTTATTCCATGGCTATAACTCTATAGGAAGAAATACATGAATTAGGTGCTTTGCTCTCATTGCTTTTTTGTTTTTCTATTATTACTTTTTGAATTGTGGACAGTGAACTAAACACTGACTTAGCAAAGAACACAAATAGGTTGCCTTTGCTCCAGTTCTAGGCAACACAGAGTGTGCACAAATAGGTATGTGCCCATGTGTACACATACACCCCCACACACAAATGGTATGTGTTAGATAATTTTTTTTTCACAGAAACAGTGTTATAAGTATCTCAGAGCATTCTTAGATATTTCCACAGAGATGTGTGAAGCAACCTGCAGACTTTTGCTCTTCTTTCCAGTAAATTTCCAAGCCAACCCCTGCATGTAGTGGTTTGAAGGCATCATGGGGTTTGTACTTTTGTGTGGAGAGATTTCCCTCCCTAAGAATATTTCCTTCTTTTCAGCTACTCCTCTACTAAGATCACCYCTCAGATCTCCAGGCAGTAGTTTCCCTTTGCTTTGGTTGCTGCAGTTGCTTTCTAGTAGTCCTTCACTTAATTCTACATAATATTGAATTAAACTAAATTCACTTCTTGTACCTTTAACCACAAGTACAATCRCTCAACTGTTCCTCACAGGAAAATTCCAAATGGTTATTGGAGCTAATTTTGATTTCTTTCAAAATAACTCTTTCCAAAGGGTTTAGAGTTCATGTTTTCTTTTCTGTCCTCCCTACTGTGTGAGCCTGCTGTTGGGCAGGAAGTTAGCTGTCTTCTCTCAGGGAAACAGCTTGGATGAAAAGACTGGCACATTTTCTGTTCATTTCCATATGCGTTCTCTTGGCTCTTCTTTGATATAAACTGGGCAGCATCTAAATTTGTCTCTCTTGATTTTGTTGTCTCTATGCATGGAGCATGTCCTATGAAAACAGAAATATCCATAAAATGGTATTCTCTTTTAGTGACCTCTTGGAATTCCTTGAGTAACATCAGATGATTATATGTGTGGGTGGGTGGGTGTAAGCCCACGTGTGCAAATGCCTCAAAGAGGAAAAGCTAGGGATGATGGCAAAGCTGAAGGGGGTGAGGTGGGGAAAAGGCAAACACAAAGGAATTCAAGGGGAAAGCTGTGCTCCACATTGGCCTACTTACAAAGGCCTGCTCAGTCAGAATTTGCCGACAAATGCAGAGGTAAACTTTTGTGAAGGAGCTAAAGAAAGGGAAAAGAGGAAGAAAACAAACAAAATACTGTAAGTTGGCCATTCAGATAGGGAACTAGTAGGAAATTTAAGAACAAGAAATATCCATTTCCTGTTTATGGTAAGTGAATTGGGTGACTAGTGATTCAAAAGGATGGACTTTAGGGTTTCCTTTGTTTCTTTAAAAAAGTTGGGAGATAGAATTCTAGAAAAGGGCAAGAGCCTAGTTAGGGGAAAGGAGCCAGATAGCATTTATTGTAGTACAAAGTTTGTGGAACCCTTCTGACTTAAGCCATGCAGATAACTAGAGGATACCTCAATTACCTTTAGAGATTCCATGCTGGTTCAAGTGAGAGGCCTCTGAGCACTTGGTCCCTGTTGAGTCATCGAGGGAAGGGAGGTGGATAGTACTTGGTGACTGATGCTGATTTTTGTTACTAAAGGTATTTGTCTAAATGATTCATCCTCTTGCCTTTGATTCTATAGCTTGTTCCTTGGGCCTGAATGACTTTAGTGCTTCCCCCCCTGAACTCACAGTCCATGTGGGTGATTCAGCTCTGATGGGATGTGTTTTCCAGAACCTAGAAGGGAAACACGTGACCAAAGTAGACTGGATGCTGTCACCTGGAAAGCATGCTGAGGTAATGAAGAGCGCACCTCACTATATCCTAGAAGCCCCACATTTGTGGTTGTCAGGATGGTACTGCAGGAGGGAGAGAGAATCACTCATCAAGTACCATGAGATGGTGTTGTTGCAAGAGCTTGGGCTTTGGAGGTATCCTAACTGGGATTCCTCCTAGCTTGGCCACTTGGCTGTGCAATCARTGAGGCAGATTACCCAGCCCTGCTAAGCTTCAATTTCCTGATCTGTGTTGAGGAAGGTAGTTATGATAATGGCAATGCTTAACTTACACGTAGTTGAGGGGCTAATTGGAGACATGCATGTGAAGTTCTTTTAGTTTCCTTCTTCTGTGCCTTTGTAGAGCCGTAAAGGTGGGTGACATGGATAATTCCTGTGGYTTAGACAAAAGACCTCTGAGCTAGGCATGAGGATGTTGTCACATTTATCTTTGGGTATGTGTGTGGGTGGGGGTGGGGGCAGACTCTTTCAGCATTCTACTGCTGCTTCAAGTACTAGGATTAGCAACTGCACCTGGCTGGGTGAGGGTCTCTCATGGAGCTCTTTGGATTAGGAAACAGTATTAAGCTTCATCAGAGATTCTGTGGAGCTACTTGGATGTAAGGATCATTTGTGAAATACATCCCAGGTAGTTTGCTATTAGTAACAAAGTCCCAATGTTTTCAAATAAAATAGTTTTTGTAACTCAGAGCACATTCTTTGTTATCCCTGCAATGCTACTCTCACTCAAATTTTTATTACTATTTATTATCATGAGAGGGCTATAGCTATGGTGTAAATAGAAAAAGGATCTTCCAGGGTTCCCCCTCTTAGCTTGTAACCATTTCCTACTCATAACTCCTCCTTTTGTGGGAGGAAAGGCAGCCAGCATTTTGGGAACCCCAGCCCACAACACCAGAGGGATTACATCATGCAGTTAAATGCTATGAAATCTGGGGGCCTTCAGAAAACAGGGTGAAATGAGAAGTGTTTTTCAAAAGTTGTGAATTTGAGCAGCTTGGGACACTGAGGCACAAGAACTTTGCGAGTTCAAAGCCAGTCTCAGCAACAGTAAAGCCCTAAGCAACTCAGTGAGACCTTGTCTCTAGATAGAATACAAATGGAATTCAAAATAGGGCTGGGGATGTGGCTCAGTGGTTGAGTGCCTCTGAGTTTAATCCCTGATAGCCCCCTTCACTGCCAAAAAGAGTTGTGAGTTTGAATCTCCAGAGTGATCTTCAGAGTCTTTGTAGCTTTGATTCCTTTAGCTGTAAGAAATAAAAATGTGTGCACTGTATTTCCCTTTGTCTTTGTGGAAAATGAGCCACAGAGTTTGTGTAAGCTAGGATGTTGCCTGGCATATTATTACCATTGATTGGCTACAAAGAACACTTTATTCATGTATGATGATGATAACCATGCCACCTCCACATARCGGGGTCTTTTGACTACAGACTCCTAGGTCTAGTTCCTCTTTGGATTTTCTCTAACACTGTCTGTGTTGCCCTCCAGGATGAATATGTGCTATACTATTATGGCAACCTCAGTGTGCCAGTGGGTCGCTTCCGGAACCGTGTGTTTTTGGCAGGARACCTCCTACAAAAAGATGGTTCTCTGCTGCTCCAAGATGTGCACGAGGCTGACCAGGGAACCTACACCTGTGAAATCCGCCTTGAAAGCGAGAGCAAGGTGTTAAAAAGCAAAGTGGTGCTGCATGTGCTACCAGAGGAGCCCAAAGGTATGGGGATGCTTAGATGGGGCTGAGGACAAGGGGCAAGGGTACTGATTTCATGGAGCAAATGCCAGCCTTTGGCTAAGTAGTTACCACCAAGTGAGTCTTGAATAAATGATAATTATTTTATTAAATAAAAATCATGATAATTATACTTTAAACATATTCTTCCTCACAAAAGTCCCGTGAAATGTTTATTATTTTTTCCATTTTACATGTGGTAACTGAGGCTTAGAGAAGTTAAGTGACTTGCCTAAGGACACATTTATTAAATGATAGAAGCTGTACTTAAGCCCTGGTGCCTCTGACAACAAAGTCCATGTTCCTTTCACTTTTCCTTGATATTTCCTATCTATCAGTTAGCCACTTCGATGCCAATCCATATTTTATAGCTACCTATGTTAGGTGTCCTGTAGGTTATAAAATAAGTGAATAGATTTCTCTAAATTTTTAACATCTCATTTTCCCACTCATAAATGGAGGAAGTGGCTTCAGTAGATCAGTGTTTTTTTTTTTTTTTTTTTTAAACTGTTTCTTTGTAGATGCCTTAAGCTCCAAGGAACTGATAGCACAGAGGGTGCTATCTGAGGGGCATGGGTTGGTAGAAAACCTACTCAGGTAGGACCCCAGCTTCCACCTCCATTGCAACCAAAGTCCTTTTCCTTTTCCTGTTTTGTTTATTGAGCTGCCAGGTCAGATTTTGTTTGAAGAAAGAATTCTGTATCTTTAAAGTAAGATTGTGATCTGTGGTGACCCAAGTCATGGAAAGACAGGCATTCAGAAAGTTCCTTCTCCTCTCTGACTAGGTATTAGCTGGAAGGAATGCAGTTGAGACTGCAATCAAAGAAGGCATTATGCTTCCAGAACAGTCTCAAGAACAAGTATTTTAAGCAGCAGCAGTAGCTGCTGGATTGGTCTCTAAAGCAGAGGTAGAGAGGGTCAACCAGTAGGGTGGAAGCTGAAGCTTCAGTTCTTCTCCAGAAGAGCATGAAGGCACCAAAGTAGTGGTAAATAACAAGGATTCCTTCTTATTTAGCGAGAGCAACATTCTTGGAAAATAGRTAGACTAGAATACAGCACTACTGAACAGCATCATGCATGGTTACCCATTCCACTAACATTCTGAAATCTTTCATCATGTAAATAATTTTTACTCTTTTATAATGAACTAATGATATCCAAACTAATAAGAGTCAATGTCTCTAAAATTTATTGTATTGATCTCCAAACAAAAATATGTAAATTAAAAGTGTTTGAAAGTCATAGGACAAGATGCATTCATTACCAAGTGTGGTGTAGAAGGAATAGTCTGTGGCCTCGGGGAAGCTTGCTATCTAGGTAAGGAGGGAGATCTGGGTCTCCCTCTGCTGCTGGCTTAGGTCCGTAGCTACTCAGCTCCACCAATGAGCTCCTCTGGAACACCTTGCCTTCCTTCCTCTTTCAGAACACCCACCACACCTGTTCATTTGTATCTTCCCTGCTTCTCTGTTTCTATTCATCTGTGACCAGCTCTGGGCATAGCACCTGGTACAGAGAAAGCAATCAATAAACATCTGTGTAAAGATGAAATCCTTTAAACATCTCTCTGAGCCTGATTTCTAAAAAGAGTTATAGAAGGTAGTCTCTGGCACCTCCCCTCATGTTTCCTACTTTTTCTCATTGAAATTTTTCTCTTAATTCCAAAGCTATGGTTCTTCAAGAAAAAGAGGAAGGTCAAATGCTAGTATTTCTCAAGGTATTTCTCTTTAAATTTTTTTTTTTTTTTTGTGGTACTGGTGATTGAAACCAGAGCCTTGCCCTTGCTAGGCAAGTGCTCTACCACTGAACCTCATCCCCAGCATTTTTAAAATTAAAAAAAAATTTTTTTAGTTGTAGATGAACACAATATTTTTATTTTTATTTATTTATTTTTATGTGATGCTGAGGATTGAACTCAGGGCCTCACAGGTGAGAGGCAAACTCACCACTGAGCTACAACCTCAGCCCCACTTTTAAAAATTTGAGACAGGGTCTCACTAAGTTTCCCAGGCTGATTGCAAACTCATAATCCTCCTGACTCAGACTCTAAGTCTCTGGGATTACATGCATGTGCTACCCTACCAGGCCCCAAGGATACCTTTATGCTTCCTTTTTCTGTCTTCTTTAGTGCTATTATTTAATGCCTAAACACTTGTCTAGACAAGCATAGCCTTCAAAATGGGTGCCTCTTCCCGCTTAGAGATACAGTGGGAGCTTAAAAAGGAGCCAATCTCAAGAGTTGAAGAAGCCCTGAAAACATGCTAGAACCACATTAGTCAGATATTTCCCCAGTAGTTGGTAAAGCAGCTTGAATTTATCTTTCCCTTCCAATTAGAATGGGACCATATACAACCCCTCACAATTTTTCCCTGTGTCCCAGTAAGAACTTGCTTTATGGAGGTTGTCTTTTTCCATGTGGAAACTCCTTTTTACAGTCATCTATAATTTTCTCTGCAAAAGTAATCCTTCAGTTTATAATTTTTATTAATGATTCTATTACTTTTTCAGTTATTTTAAATACTGATAGGTTAAAAGTAATAAAAAATTAATAATATTAACTTCCTGTAATTTTCTAGAATCAGCCACCCTTCTACTTGTGTGAGATGGTACAGTCTGTGAGTGAAAGAACAAAGAGTTTGTTTTTACTTATTGGGCCTGGATTTGAGTGCTGGTTCTATCCTTTACTGGCCGTGTGGCTTTGGGCTCTTTCACTTTGCTCTTCTGCAAAATGGGAAGTGATATAGACGTCTCAAATACTGTATGACTAACTGATAGACTAGGTATAAAGTGTCTAGCATGTGTTTGGTGCATTAAAAAGTCTTAGAATGTTCAGTTACTATTATTTAAAAAGATAGTTCAGCTCTTAATGTGCTGATAAATTCAGAGGGAGGCACCTTCCCTACTGGTATTTTTGGGAATCAATTTTGATTGCTTTCAAAATAATTCCCTCTATTGAATTTAGAATTCATAATATTTTCTTTTGCTTTCCTCCCATTGTGCACATCTCCTGCTGGGCAGGATGTTCATGTTCTCCCAAGGAAAGGGTTTAGATGAAAAGTGGGCTATGCACTCATGGGCTTTTCTCAATGGTCCTTTGAAGGAACTCTCTCTAGATAAGACCTAAGCTGTGTCTCCCTATATGCCCTTAATAAATTCTTTTTTTAAAAAAAATTTAATTTGTTTTAATTAGTTATTCATGACAGTAGAATGCATTTATGCACTTTGATATATCATACATAGATGGGATATAATTTCTCATTTTTCTGAGTGTACATGTTGTAAAATTATATTGGTCATGAAATCACATATATACTTAAAGTAATAATGTGTTTCATTGTCTATCTTTTCTATCCCCAGATCCCCTCCCCTCCCCTCTCTTCTCTTTCYTCTACCTATAGTAATGCTAATTTTCTCTAGTGACCCCCACCTTATTGTGAATTACCATCCACATATTAGAGAAAACATTGAGCCTTTAGTTTTGGAGGATTGGCTTATTTAACTTAGTATGGTATTCTCCAATTCCATCCATTTACTGACAAATGCCATAAATTTCTCTCTTCTTTAAATCTGAGTAATATTCCATTGAGTATATATACCACATTTTCTTTATCCAATCATCCTTAATCAATTCATAATCAACTTTGTGATTGATTTGTATAGGGCATTTGGAAAAATCAGAAACATGTGTCTATTTGTTTTCTTTTCAGGGACCTCTTGAAATGACTCACAATGAACATATGGTGGGGTCAGCTGCTCATAAAAATAGGCAGCAGAAAGAGCCCAGGAGTAGGAAAGTGAGAAGCAGTAGAGAGGGGTCAAGTGGAGAAGGTAGGGGTAGGGGAGGGCAGGGTTGGAATAGAATGAAGAGTCTAGGGGAAAACTGTCTACTGTCTTGTCCTACTTTGCAAAAGTTTGGTGACCTATACTGAAACCAGAACTAGGTCCTAAGCAAATCCTAAGACAATTTGTAAAAGAATAAAAGAATTTGAATAAAGTTACCCTTGATTCATTTTTTTAAGCTCGGAGAACCAGTGGGTTAAATATAAGAATGAAGGTTTTATAACTTTCCACTTCCTGTTTATGCTAAGGAGATGTAGGTATCTTAAGTTGATGAACAGAAAGTGGGACTTCAAGATTTTCCGTACATCCTTTAGTACAGACTTGATGTGAAGTTAGAATTCATGGGAGGAATTCTGAAAAGAAGGAAAGAGAAAGGAATTAAAGGGCACCAGAAAGAATTTATTGCGGTATGAAGACAGCAGAAACCTCCGACCTGCCATTTATAGGCAGTTAGAGGGTATTTCTTACTCTTGGGGATGCCATGTTGGTTTGAGTGAAGGGCCTCTGTTACTTTGACCACATGGAATCATCTGGATTATCTATGGAGGGAATATGTACAGTGTTTGGCGGTGACAGTGATTTTTGCTGTTGAGGGTCTTTGGCTAACATTCTCTAGAAATTCTTTTACTTCTACAGATTATATTTTGARCCTAACTTGATTTACTGTTTTATCCCCAGAGGTCACGGTCCATGTGGGTGATTCAGCTCTGATGAGATGTATTTTCCACAGCACAGAAAAGAAACGCCTGACCCAGGTAGACTGGATGTTTTCTTCAGGAGAGCATACCAAGGTAGGAGGAGGAAGCATCACCATGTAGTAGAAGCCTGTGGCTGGTGGCAGGACAGAGCTGGGAGAGGGACAGTCAGTTATCAGATGCATGAGGTGGGTGACATTACAAGAGCTTGGGCTTTAGAGCTTGTTGAACATGGACTCCTAATTCAGCTGCTTGGCTGGGCAGCTTTGGCTTCCTAGTGGGAAATGTGACACTAATGGATAAGAAGATAATGAGGATGATGTTTAACTTTTAAGGTTGTTAAGACACTGGCGTGAGTACATAGATGTAAAGCATTCTGCACATGACTTAGCCAAGGCATCTTGGTTTCCTTCTTCTCTTTGTAGAGTTCATGGGAGAATGAAAGGGATGATTTCTCTTGCCTAGCCAGGAAAGCTATGGAATAAATATAAGAATTTGATTACTTTCTTATTCTTATTGGGATTGTTTTGTGAGTTTTGGTTTGTGCTCCATTGTTCCCTTTATGTGACAGAGGGAATTTTCCTTTTTTTTTTTTTTTTCAAGTGTTAGGATTGGTGGATCCTGGGGGCTGGGTGAGGGTCATTTCATGGGAACTCTGTAAAGCCATAAACAGCAAGTTAGTTCACTAGACTAGTAGATCTTCACCATATATGTGGTGATGTATTTATGGATGACGCTGTGTGTGAGGGGCATTCTGGGTAACTTATTATTAATAAAAGTTAAGGTACAAGGTTTATAAAGGCTTTTACTTTTATAAATTAAAACATATGGTAGTCATCCCTCTAGCAAGATAATTTGCACTCCCTTGATTCCTATATGCTGATTGAGTGGGTCAGAAAGGATGGCATTATGGAGTAGGGGGAATTACATGTCATGCATTTTTTTCTTTTTTTGTACCAGGGATTGAACCCCTAGGGGTGTTTAACCACTGAGCCACATCCCTAGCCCTTTTTAATATTTTATTTAAAGATAGGGCCTCTTGCTGAGTTGCTAAGCCTGGCTTTGAACTTGAGATCCTTTCTTTCTCTGCCTCCTGAGCTGCGGGGATTATAAGTGTGTGTCATTGCACTGGGCTGACTTTATTATGCATTTAAATGTTGTCCATCAAATGATTCACCGCAGAAGGAGATGGGAGGTTTAAGGGCCAGATCTCTCCATATGTGTTTGTGTCTGTATGCCCAACACCTTTTCTTAAAAGCTTAAAGAAATTTACATACCTTTATAAAAAAAAATTCTAACACTCCTTCACTTAAATATTTTTTAAGCATTTACTGTGTGATAAACACTCAAAGCCCCTGTCCTGATGCAGGACTTGCAATCAAGATAATGGGGAGATAATAAAATGGCAAAGAATAAATATATAATACATTGAGTAATAGTTAGTGCTGTAGAGAACCATTAAGCCGAGTTTTGTGGTTATTTTATGTGGATGACACTTGAGCAGTAGTCTGAAGGCAGTGGGGGTGGGTGAACCACGAGTATGTCTGGAGGAAGCGTCTCAGTCATAGGGAGTGGCAGTGAAAGGCTCTAAGACCAGGACTCAAGGAGCAGCAAGGAGCTGATGGAGGAAGAGAAAGTAGAAGATGAAACCCAAGAGGAAAATGGGACTGTCAGTTTTTGAAGGGCCTTTTACTTTAAGTAGAAATGAAGGGCYGTGGGAAGGTTTTGAGCAGAGAAGTGAAAGATGTAACTTAGGTTTTTAAAGGCTCATCTGCTGAGAATAGATCGTAGTGAAGAATACGCAGAGAGGCCAGTAAGAAAGTCCTGTGGGAACCTGTGTAAGAGATGCGAAGGAGGCTTGGACAGCAGGAGGTGAAAAGTGGCTGGGGTCAGAATGTATCCTGAAGGTAGAGGTGATCAGAGTTGCTGAGAAGTTAGATGCAAATTCTCCAAGAAAGAGAAGAAATTATGGATGACYTTAATTTTTAGCCTGAGCCTCTGGAAGAAGCCATGGCCATGGCTGTTTACCAGTGTGATGGACTGAAGGAACTGGCTTAGGGGAACAATTAGGAGTTCAGTTTTAAATGTGTTTCAGGTACCTATTGGAAATCCAACTGGAAATGCCAAAAAAGTGAACATGAAACTGGGCGTGTTGGTGCAGGCCTGTGATCCCAGCAGGGTTCAGGAGGCTGAGGCAACAGGATTTCAAGTTCAAAGCCAGCCTCAGCAACTTAGCAAGACTCTAAGCAACTTAGCAAGACCCTGTCTCAAAATGAAATATAAAATGGCCTGGGGATGTGGCTCAGGGATTAAGTTCCCCTGGATTTAATCCCCGGTACTAAGAAAAAAAAAAAAAAAAAGGAACATGTGCTCTTACTTTTTTTTTTTTTTTAAACTAGAGAAGTGCAAAACAAAAGCCCTTTATTCCCACTTTAAAAAAAAAAATCCTTCTCTTCTGAGGAAACAGCATGCATGATTTCATGATGCTCTTCATAAGCACATAGATACGTGTGTGCACTTGAATTGCTGTTATCTAGCACATATACACACATGTGTGCACACAGCTTTGTTGCATAACACTAACATGCACCTGTACGTGCCCACCCTTGAGTTACCTAACACTTTCTGAGGCCTGAGATGGTCCTCCCTCCCTGCTTCCCCACATCCCCTTGCTGCCAGTCCTCCAAAGCTCATGCTTTTGCCTTTCCCTTCCAGGAAATCGTCTTACACTATGACCTCAAATTCCACTTTCCTGAGAGATACTTCCCTTATCAGGGTCGCTACCAGAACCGTGTAAACCTGGTGGGAGACATTTCCCACAATGATGGTTCCATCATGCTCCAAAGAGTGAAAGAGTCTGATGGAGGAATCTACAACTGCAGTATCCACCTGGGGAACCTGCTGTTCAGGAAAACTCTTGTGCTGCATGTGACCACGGAAAAGTCTCAAAGTATCTAACATTTGATTGGAGAGGGCTGAGGGACCTTAGCTGGTAGCAGGGCCAGGACTAGAGTGAGTAGAAAGGTTCCTAGGCTGAAAAAGGGAAGGGGCTTGCCCCTAGGTACTCATTGTGAGTCAGCCCTGCCCTGAGAGTGCTGCCTCCTTCACCATGACTCCTTAAGGGCCTGGCTTCCCTTGCCCTGGTTTTGGCACTGCTGCGGGGCTGAGGAAAAGGGAGCTAATGTATAGACCACCAACCCTATGCCAGTGTATACTACTACTGCAAAGATTCAAGAGCTCAGACAGCTTGGAATTGAGGTCCAAACCCATTTTTATTTGGCTTAAAGGGAATCACTGCGTGCTCTGTTATGGTAGGGAAAATGATCCTGAGCTGGTGAGAGATAGCAAGGATCAAAGAGAAAACAGGAAGGTACCAAGCCCAAAATGGAGGGTTTTTCTGGCATACAATGTGCATCCAGGTCAGGGGTGTGTAGGAAAAGAAAGAGTCAATTGTGTTGACTGAGAGAGGTTGATAGTGAGGAGTTAATGTTAAACCATAACTCGTTTAGCAGTCAGGATGTGGCCTGTGGACTTTGCTGGGGCCTTCAGGAGCTGACTGCGGTTGACTGGGGGTGGAGAGGTGGGGGTAGGATGGTACATACCAGAACCTCAGGCTGGGGGCTTAAGTCTGTGGATTCTTATTAATAGCAAAGGTCCCAGCTGGAGAGGGAAGTAAGACAGATGCATCTCTTAAAGAATTACCATCTCTATATGTGCTTCACTCTCAGAATTCTTACCACCTTCTCACAGAGAAAATCAAGCCATGGTGGGGGCTCATTCACTTCCAAGCCTTTCTGCACATGAGTATCTGTTCCTGATCTTATCTCTACCCACTGTCCTGAGGCAGAAGAAGCTCCCTTCTGCCCTGGGCTTATCCTGTTCAGTCCTTCTGTTATCCTCTCCCTCCCAAGGACCTTACACCAGGGATCTTTGGGCTCTTGCTGTCTGTTGGTTTCAACAGTTAAATATGCTTAATTCTTCCTCTTACCTGAGCCCTTACCTATTCTAGCTCTCATCCTGAATCTTTGTTTTTCTTAAAGCAGCTTTATTGATATATATTTCATATACTGTACAATTCACCCAAAGTATAAAACTCAGTGGTTTCTAATACATTCTGATTTGTGCAACCATCACAATAATCAATGACAGTTCTTTCTTAACATAGCCAACTAGCTTATAAGGGGCTGCACTGGGCATCTTCCTGGCTCATCTCCCATTAACTCCTCACTGCACCACATTCTGGCTTCAGCTATCTTTACTCTAGCCTTCCTCAGCCTTCTTTCCTACGTAGTGTTGGATGCTCTATTATGTATACATTCTATGTTGGATGTAATTAATCCACTTATATATATGTCCCTTGGTGTTGCGGGAAGTTGGTTCCAGGACTCCCCACAGATAACCAAAATCTGTGGATGCCCAGTTCCTTTTATAAAATATTGTAGTATTTGCATACAACCTATGTACCTACTCCTGTGTACTTCAATTCATCTTCAGCTTACTTATGACACCTAATTCTATGTAAATAGTTGTTATATTGTATTACTTAGGGAACAATGACTAAAAAAGTCTGTACATGTCAGTACACATGCAGTTTTCCCCCCAGTCATGTACAGTTGATTGAATCCATTGGGGAGGACCCCAGGGGTATAGAGGGTTGGTGTGTGTGTGTGTGTGTGTGTGTGTGTGTGTGTGTGTTTGTGTGTGTATTTCAACTCCACCAAAAATTTTCACAGATCCTTCAAATACTACATGTCCACACCTACCCTTGTGTACCTCTTCAAAGCCCATCTCCCCAACCTGTTAATTTCATCATTATCTACACATTTGTGTAAACATATGACCCTTCTGAGTTTGGCTTATTTTGCCTTACATAATGCTCTCAAGTTTCATCCATTTCTGAAAATAGCATAATTTCATTCTTTATTATGACTGAATAAAACTCCATTGCCACTGCCATCTTTTTAAGTCACAAATCAGAAATTCTGTTCTATGGCTTATAATCTTGCAGTAGTTCCTCCGTTGATTACAGAAAAAAGAAGAAGAAGGAGGAGGAGGAGGAGGAGGAGGAGGAGGAGGAGGA